GGGGGGGTTAAAGTGTTTTACGGTGTTCACAACTGCTTAAGGTCGTATGAGCGCGCGGGACGCATTAAACATTTTCAGTTCGTAGGAGAATTTGAATTTTGCCCGGGTGTCTGCCGAAGCCTATTCTTATCGATTTTAGACCACCAAGGGATCTTTAACGTGCGCAACTTGCTCTCGGGGCCTCCGAGATTCTTCGCCCTAGTCCGAGAAGGCTAAGTGTAGATCTTTCCTACCAGAAGATCAGGGGTGTTGCTGAAAGACAGCAGTGAGAAGGAGCCAAGGGGTAGCAGTAGAAAGGCTGCAGAAAGAGTCAGGAGCCCAGGGGTGGGGGCAAAGGTGGTGAGGGCTGGGGGCAAAAAGTGGAGACGAAAGAAGATGACAGAATATTGCTCGAGAGCGGAAAAGGGGGTGAAAGGAGACAATTTTAGAGAAGAAAATGTTCCCGTTGCAGCCCGGATTCGAACCCGGGACCCTTGAATGAGAGGAGAGAACCTTAACCTCTAGGCTATGAGAGCCCCCGCCGATATGTTTGAGACTGCTGAGAAAATCGTAGAAGGAAAAGAAATCATACGGGGTAGTGCTTGGTGAAGCCCGCGTTTAAAAAAAAATCAGGAAACGACAAATTATGCAGTTTTTGGGACACCTGAAAAGACATAAAGATCTTGAATATCTAGCTCTCACTGGCAACATTGAAGGCAAACAAGGCAGGGATATATCCCAGAGCAACATACTTGGGGAACCTAAACAAATGAGTAACGGGGAAAGATCAGGGAAATGTAATTTTTTTAAAGAGCATCTGAGCAAAGGAATGAATGGAGAACCATGATCGCCGATATCTGTCGCATTCTGGCACTGGATGATGATGATGATGATGATGATGATGATGATGATGATGATAATGATGATGATGACGATGACGATGATGGTGGTATGTTTGAAAATGGTATACGTTTAAAGTCCCTATCAACACTCTTTTGATGATGATGATGATGATGATGGTGATGATTATGATGATGATGATGATGATGATGATGATGATGATGATGATGATGATGATGATGATGATGATGATGAAGCCCAAGAGGCGAAACATTGAGCTGTTTCTATTAAACAAAGTTTAAACATTTTATATTTTTATGTTATTTCGTCTGAATTTCAAACAAGACTCTCCCTTCTGCTTTCCAATGATGATGATGATGATGGTGATGATGATGATGATGATGATGTGAGGATGGTGATGATGATGGTATCTATGATGATATCATATCATCATCGTCATGCGAACGCCATCTAATCTCTATCACTCGACCTACCCCCTCAGGCTGGCAGTCAACTTGTTATACTACGGACTGAGTCTGAACGTGGGCAACCTCGGAGGCTCCACGTACCTTAACTTCTTCCTGGGCGCTGTGGTGGAGATGCTGGGCTACCTCTTCGCCTTGTTCCTACTGGACCGCACGGGCCGCCGACGTCTGCACTGTGCTGGCATGTTTGTGGGGGGACTCGCCTGCCTCGCCGTCATGCTGCCCGTCACTCTGGGAGACGATGGTGGGTGCTGGCTAATCTGCTGCTACTTGTGATATTTATAATCATCATCATCATCATCATCCTCATCATCATCATCATCATCATCATCATCATCATCATCATCATCATCATCATCATCATCATCATAATCATAATCGTAATAATCATAATAATAATCATAATCATAAGTATGATCATAAACATAACAGTAACAATCATCCCATCCCATCCTATCCCATCCTATCTCATCCCATCCCATCTACTCTCACCCCATGTCATCCCATCTCATCTCGCCCCATCCCATTTCATCCTATCCCTCTCATCCCATCCTCTCACCCCACCCCATCCCCTTTCACCCCATCACATTCCATCCCCTCCTACCCCATCCCATCCCCTCTCACCCCATCCCACCCACCCCCCAGGTGACCAGTGGGCAGCCACAGCCCTGGCTATGATGGGCAAGTTCTGTGCCAGCAGCAGCTATGGCGTCCTGTACATCATGTCCGCTGAGCTCTTCCCCACCGTACTGCGCAACTCTGGCATCGGATTCTGCTCCATCTTCGAGAATGTCGGCGGGATGATCTCCCCTTACATCGCCGACTTGGTAAGGACAAACACCAAAGAGGTTTTATCTATCTATCTATCGATCTATCGATCTATCTATCTATCTATCTATCTATCTATCTATCTATCTATCTATCTATCTATC